AATCAGTAAGTATACATTATATAGACAATTGAACTACCTTATGCCATGCATTCGATGCGAAATTTTGATATATAGGTTTTCCAAAAGTAAAGGACGTGACTGAATATGTATGATTTGTGAAACAATCGGTGGTATGATTGAGTGGAACTTGGATAGAAAGTTTTCTACGGTAACTTTAGATAACTGCTAAACTAATGATCTTCTTATTGAGTTGCTAAAAGATTAGTTGAATCCACAACATTTGATGAGAGTTGGATCATTGTTGGATATGAGGTGTTGTGCACATGTGTTGAATTTGATTATGGAGGATGGTCTTGATGTGATTAAGAAAAAGGTAGAGAAATTTTGTGAGAGTGTAGCCTTTTGGAATCAATACCTAAAAGACAAGAAACTTTTGAAAATGCAGCAAGACAATTGCTTATCAAATTTGATAAGAAGTTGTGTATTGATTGCCCAACTAGGTGGAACTCCACTTATTTGATGTTGCATTGGAGTATGAGGATGTTTCTGCTAGGTTGCCATATGTAGCTCTCAATGAAGTAAACTTAATACAAAGAGAGAGAGTTGAATCTCTTATGTGCACTCAAAGTTCGCTATTGAACCATATTGACGAAGAAGGTAAATCTATAGTACTAGTTACAAGTTTTCTTAATATCATTACTACTATTTCCATTCAAACAGTTTGTCTACAGTTAATGAAGATGACGATCCGGCTTTGATTGGAGCCATTACTGGTAATGTTTCAAATATGTGTATTGCGTATCTACATTGTATTATTTGAATTGTATCCAACACTATTTTATTTTGTTGTAGGTCTTGCCCTTGATAAAGATGGATAATCTGGTGATGAACAATGATGTTCAAATTTGTCTTAAAAGTGTTTTAAAGTATGACCATTGACCACATGATGGCTCTTTCTTAGTGCTTTGTTTTCAATTAATCTATTCATATATTTAATGATTGATACCAGCCGAAGATAGGATGTCGCGAATCGCTGGGGTGGGCAGGGAACTACTCATCAGTTGAAGGAAAATAAATACCCAACACCCTTTCAGCTCATTCATCTCTTCATTATGCAAAAAGAAAAAAAATAATAAAAGAAGCAGAAAGACCACAAAATTATCAGCAAAGAAGAAAGAGGTTCATTGAGCTTTTGTTATTTAAAGCTATATTTTGTTATCTTGGTTGTAGCATGGTAACATTATATTTTGAATGTAGGTTGAATGTGGATCAGGGTTTTGGATTCATGCTTGGTTGTTATATTTAGATTTAGTTGTACTAGTTGTTATATTTAGGGCTAATACGACTAGGAAACCGGAACTATCAAGAATGTTTCATTTGTGTCCTAAACTATTTAATATGACATTTGTGTCCCAAACTATCTAATATGACATTTGTGTCCCAACCTAAGATAGTTGTGTGTCATTTATGTCCTAACAATTTCGTTGACCGCCATAGATAACGGTTGACCAGACGAAAGTCAATGTTAACATTGACTTTTGTTGACGTGGCAGGCACGTAGATGCCACGTCCTTGACACATCATATTTTTAATTTAAAACTAAATAAAAATAAAAATAGAAAAATTATAAAATAAAAAATAATGAAAATAAAAACTCTACCATCGCTGCCTCGTCTTCCACCGTCTTCCATCGCTCTATTCTTTGTTAATCAATTCAACCATATCAGCCCAAAGCCCAAGCCCAGAAAATCAACTCGGGTCAATTCAGTAAACAAAAGTCAAAGTCAGTCAACTGGGTCAGGTCTGACCAAACCCAGACCGGTCCGACCCAAACCGGTACTGTTATAACTTGGTGAACAAGCTGCCAATTCTATAAAAATGAGTACCTTGGGCTGCTGAAACATCCTACTACTTTGAACTTGGAAAAAGACATTTCTACCCATAGGTATATTTAAAAATCTCAAATAACACAACTTTAAATAAAATACCAATTTCAAATATCTTAATATCTCAAATTGAAGCCCTAAACACGTAGGTAAAACTTAAATCGTACTCTTAAAAGAAATAAAAGAAATGAATCTCCAGTTTTAAACTCATAAACAGAGTCTTAATAACTTAAAGAGTTCTTCGATGCTTACTCTGACGCCTGGCTCGACATCCCTCAGCGACGATGGTGTTGAGCTCCTCTAGCTTGCTGGTCACGGACTGGTTGGTTATGATCTCCTCCTCTACGATCTGGTGATAATACGCCCCTAGAGGATGTATATTATCAAAGTCATGCAGCTAACGACTCAATCGAAGGATCGATTGAGCTCGAATCAAGAACATGCGTTCTTAATACGAACTTGGATAAAACGGAACCAAAAATGCAGTTCCACACCTGGGGAAAGGCTTGATTGGTATAATGATAGATGCCCAACCACGATTGAAGTGACTATTCAATCGATACAAGAGCTCACGAGCTTGGAATCCACCAAACCCAACACAAGTCGCAACTTGCATAAAACCAAAAGGTTCTTAATTCGATTAATCAAAGTCTTGAGTTTTATAACGAAATAGAAATCTTAAATAGGCCTAGCTAGGGTTACACACGTCCCATAAACTCCTAATTACAGTCTAATACGAAAAGGAATAAAAAACTACCGAAACAATGAAATCCTAACTAAACAAGAAAAGAAAATCTGCCGTTAGCCCCAAGTAACCAAACAGCTTTGATGCCATCTTTGAGCCTCTCGATCAATGTCTTCCAGGTAAGCTTCCAATCATCCAATGCCATGTCTTTGTAGTAGAACATACCTACTTTCATGTGGTATAAGATTCTGGACTCGAATCTTATCAATGCTTCTGGAACGGAGCTCCAAATTAGGCTTCTTGAACACAGTTTCTGCCTTAGCCAAATTCTGACAGTTTTCCAGTTTTGAGGTAGCAACTTTGAGGCCTTAGAAAACAACCTTAATGACATCATCTTGATCCAAAAGGTGTACCATTGGAAAGATGAAAGCTTTATCTTCAAAACAAGACCTTGAAATAAAATTTTACCGAGCCATTTGTGAGAACCATGCCTCCAAAGTAGGCATCGCGAAACTGTTCCAACACTTGACCAAATTCTGCCTTTCTTCTTCCCAACTTCGATAGCTTCTTTGTTAAGTAATTGTGACATGTATAGTTGGCCATTTGGGATCATATCAAGTGAGTGAGTTGGGGTCAGTCTACGCCCTTACGTTTGAAATCTCTAGTACTTCTTACTTAAGAACTTAACTTAAACTGGTGGATGATACTTTCACTCTTTAAAAGTTATTGATAAAGCTCAAATCTCAACTTAAATATTTGAATTACACTAGGATCCCTCACTAGCTAGTCCGGTTGCCAACTCATACGTATGAGAGCCCATTCAGGCTTTCGTTAAACTTAAGCTTATCGTGGAAGGCTCTTCTTCCACGATTCTCAAGAGCATAACTGCAGCTCATCTTAAAATATCTCAAGAGCATAATTGTTTCTCATCTTAAAAGTCTCAAGAGCATACTACTGCTCTATCTCAAAATCTCACAGCAACGGAATGGCGCTAGTGACTAAAAACATTTAGAACCATTTCACCTCCTTTGAAGGTGGGGTACTTCTTAGAAAAGAGAACTTGTTTGTTAAACTTTAATAATAACTCCTCAATGTAAAGCTTTAAAGTAAATAACAAATCATACATATTCACTGCAAACATAGCTCAAACAAAGGAAATATTATTAATCATAAGCACAATCAAACAACGAAAATCACTTCATCAAAATCCTTAAAAGCTCGTGATACTTGAAATAACACGTAAGGCGTAGAATTTACCGCCTTTACACTCACCTTGAATATATGACTCTTCGATTCCTTACACGAAGAAATCCCTCCTAGCCAAATTATCTCGGTGAACCTATTAACAAGAAGCCCATATCCTTAGTCGACCTTTCTCGATTTAAAAATTCCCTTTTGAATCACTAGAACAACCTCTCCTCAAAATCCAGTCCTCGAGCCTCGTTCCAAAGGTTCCTTAACCCCTTTAAAAAAATTTCTAGACATAATCCCTTCAAAACCGACCATTTTTCCTAATTATTTTTGTCTTGGAAGAATTTTTCACTTAACTTGAACCCCTTTAAAAAATTACGACCTCCAAATTGGAGGCTAATCTGGGTTGCTAACTATTGTGAAACCAAACTGAACCACATGGTTTAATATTGAAAAATCGAGTAATGAGAACTAAACTTGAAAGTACACCGAGATTCACCAACTACTGATCTAATCACCAATAAACAACTCTGGGTACTTCTCTCTCATGCTACTCTCTGTCTCCCTAGTCGCAGCCTCGCTGCCCTAGTTCCTCCATACTTCCTTTACCATGGCAATCTTCTTCCTCCTCAACTCCTTATAGGTCAAATTATCCTCCAACTGGATGTCCTCATGCCTGATCACATGCTCTGGGTTGGACCAATACACCCTTAGCATGCTGACATGGAAAACGTCGTGAATCCTAGGTAGGCTAGGAGGTAAGGCTAGTCGATAGGCTAAGGGTCCAATACTCTCCAACGCCTCATATGGACCGATATACCTCATACTAAGCTTTCCCTTCTTCCCTAATTTCATCACTCCCTTCTAAGGAGACACCCTCGGGAATACCATACACTACAAAAAACAGAACTTTTTGCGACGAAAATTTCAGTGACGGAGTAAAATTCGTCGCTGAAAGTACTCTTCTGTGAAGAGTTTTATTGATACCGTCGCAAAAAGCGCAACTGCCAGCGCAAATTTTTTTGGGAGTTTTAACATGATTCGGCGACGGATATTGGCGTCGCTGAAGCCCGGGATTTTATTGCAACAACAACTGTGTCGCAAAAGGATCAAGTAAAAATAAAAAGAAAATCTATAATTCCATTTTTCTCTACCGATCTAAATGACGTCATTTGCATCTCCCATGTAAAATTACAAACTAAATTCACGAAAAAACTAAAAGAAAAATAATATTAGTCAGATATTTATTCTTTAGACTTATCCATGGGAGCTTAAACGTTTCCCACCTCTCCTTCTCCCCCAAACCCACAACCCTAGCTAAAAATCTCACGACCCAATCTTGCTAAAGAGCGGATCGGAGAACTCTAGCCACCAGCATCGCCTCCCGCAAGTTGACCGGCGGCTCCTCCTTCGCTACCTTTTTTTCGCATCTGGCGACTCCTTCTGCTACTCCTCATGCTCCTGTTCCTGCTCCGTCGACAACGAACTGGCCAATGAGTCCAAATCACTCACGTATAGGCGGCGGATGACGAGAATGAGCAAGACAACCATGGATCTAGGTTCCTAGGGGATTCTGTTCTCGATGATCGATTCCCCCAAAATGGCAAAAGTAGTCTCGTCCAACCGCTTCTCGCTGGCAGGGATACGGGAATCGGTCCAAACTGCGGTGAGAGCTTCGGGTTATGGGATCCGCATAGTATGCTTGAGCAATTATGAGGAGGATCTGCTTATTTCGTGCCAGATTCAGAGTGAGGAAGGGGTGAAGAAAGCCAATGAGATTGGAGCACTTACGACAGAGACGCGCAAAGTGCTCGACAACCATTCCTTTGTATTTTGATTTCATTTTGCAATTGGTTGCTAACCCTTTGTTTTGCAGATCTTTTGGTTGTTGATTTCCCCTTCGTCTGCCACATCCCTTGACTAATTGTTTACTTCGGTTATTTCTTGTTTTGTTTTTTGCTTCCATGCTTTAATTGAAAGGAAGAAGGTTCTGCAATTGGTTGCTCTAACCCTCACCCTGTTTAGTTTTTGTTCTAGTGATCCATATTTGCCTCTTACCATTTTCTTTGTGTCTCTCAATAGGGCTACATTATGACTAAACAGTCCCTTATGACTACAACTTTCAAAATACTGTAAGCTCTTATCCTCTATCGTATTTGTTCCTAATCAATTAAACTATTACTATGAAACTAATGGCCTTGTTTACCTTGGTCTTATGTAAATTGTAAAATCTACCGCTTTTTGAAATTATGGAAGAGCAATCCTGCAAAATAGCTTGTTTACCTTGGTCATGTCCACACTTTCCTTCCTTACTGCTGCCTCTACACCCTGCCCACTCCCTCGCCACATCTAGACGTGGGAGCTGCAAGCAGAGTAGCACTACTCGAGGTGGACGAGGTGAGGGTGTTGTGGCACGTGGGGCTCATGAGAGGCGGTTGGACGGAGGCATTCACGTTTATGGATGAGGTTGTGTAGGTGAGGCAAGAGGCGGCGAGGGCAGTAGCAGGGTTATTCTCGCAGGAGCTTCCCCCACCGGGGCGCTGTCCCTTTGGTGGTGGGACGAGCGGGCGGGCCACGGATTTGAAGATGGAGTTTGCGGATTGTAGGAGAGGAGTGGACAGCTGCTGAAGCAAATATACAGCAGCACACTAAAGCTAGTAAGCTCTTGTTTGTTAACAAAAATGTCATTACATATGAATGCAACTATTGCTAGCTTCTTTTCATTAATTAAGTGGAATATGAAGACGAGAAGGCTACACAGAACAAGAAGCTTATAAGCTCCCATGGAAATGAAGTAGATTTAGATTGGATTTTGAGAAAACAAAATGATGGTAGATAGTATATATTTTTGTAGATGAGTGGAAAAGTTAAATTAACATCTATCCAGTATCCAAGTGCCTTTTAATGTCTGAAATGCGTATGCTGCATACTGTGAAAAAGATAAATCCAAAGGATATGATGGGTGATACAATTACAAATGAAACATAGGTTGCTTGTGCCATCAACACTTCTGCCTTTGATTTATTCACTTACGAGATAATCACATGTTCTGTCTATAGAACTGTAATGCTTTGCTGGACGTTTATTTTGAGCTTCTGTATCTAAATCATTTCATCTTTTCTCTCTTCTTTTCCTTGCTGCATTTTACTTGGTTCTTGATTTTTATGTGTTAGCTTGGACATTCCCATTTAACCTCTTCTTTCTAATCTTGAGAACCTCTTGTTTCAAATCATAGCAGGAGGTGGTGTGAACCAGCAATGACCACCGTTCGGATACTTTGGCATGGATTAGCATCGACCAACAGCTGGGATATTTTGGCATGGATCGTGGTGTTGATTGTGGTTAGTTTGAGAATAAAAAATGAATGTTATCTTACAATATTAGAGTAAATTCTAGCTTTTTAGACACAGAATTCCTTGGGCATGAACAATGAATGTTCTTGTTTTCGTTTTCCTAGGTGTATATACTACTTTCAAAAATTGTAAATGTTATAGTTGGAAACATGTTCGGTTAGTGACCTATTATGTATGGTTTTATGTACAGGATGTTCCTATTAATAACGTTGTTAAATTATTACTCTTCTTATAAGAAAGCGTCAGTTGTGTTTATATTTAGATGTGAATTAGCAGTTTGAGAAGGAAACAAGGTACAACCGCCGGAATTACAAAATTACAAAATCTGTGTTTTTTGCGTCGAATCATTTCGTCGCTAAAAAGGTGGTAGCTATTTTTGCGACGATGTAATTCGTCACCCAAGACTCACTGATGAACTTGTACAGCGATGACTAAATTCGTCGCTGAAGAACTTATTTAGCGACGAATTGTTCGTCGCTAAAGCTAATAGTGAGGCAACCTTGTGCGACGATAAAAATTGTTCGTCGCCAAATCCTGTGTTTCGCGACGAAAATGTCATCGCTGAAGCCTAACTTTTCAGCGACAAATGGTGGTTTGTGGCGACGAAGGGTAAAATTACGTCGCTAAAAGCTAGGGCGACGCGGTATAGGCGACGGAAGATGGAAGGATTTGGCGACGAGTTTGGTCGTCGCTGAATGTTTCAGCGACGAATTTTTTCGTTGCCGAAGGTACTGTTTGTTGTAGTGATATCACCCACTTCATAACTTTGCAGGTTCCCTGGCCTCCCAGCATTACTCTTATGCCGGTCCTTAGTCGCCTTCAAGATCAGGTGAATCCCCTCCACCTTCTCAACTGCCTTCTGTAACATCTTTGGACCCTCTAGCTTTCGCACTCCTTTTGCATCCCAGTATAGTGGTGTATGACACTTCCTCCCATACAAAACCTCATATGGAGCTGCTTGTATCGAATTGTGATACTGATTGTTGTAAGCAAACTCCATTAGAGGGAAATGCTCATCCAAAGCTTCTTCCATCGCCAAGACACACGCTCTTAGCAGGTCTTCCAGTGTCTGGATGGTCCTCTCTTACTGTCCATCAGTCTGGGGATGGTATGCGGTGGAGAAGTGAACTTGAGTGCCCATAGCCTTTTGATGGCTCACCCAAAATCGTGCTGTGAAGCTAGGGCCGCGATCAGACACGATGCTAAGAAGGAATCCATGCAATCTCACTATCTCCCTCACATACAGCCTAGCCAGGTCCTTCAGCCCTGACTTGAAATTTATGGGTATAAAATGAGCCACCTTCGAGAAGCGATCCACAATCACCCATACTACATCATTTCCCCTTGGGGTCCTAGGTAAATCATACACAAAATCCATGGTAATCTTCTCCCAAATCCACTGCGGGAGAAGATGCAAAGTGCTCAATGATTGGAGCTTGATGTTCCGCCTTGATCATTTGGCACTCCAAGCATTGGTAGACATGTGCAGCTACCTCCTTCTTGAACCCTGGCCACCAAAAATGCTCTTTGAGGTTCAACACATCTTAGTAGCCCCAGGGTGCATCGCATAAGGCGCAAAGTGAGCCTCGTCCAGAATATCCTTCCTCATCTTGCCAACATCTGGGACACATAGCCTTCCTTGATACATTAGTACCCCATCTACCCGTTCAAATTTGGTGTCCTTCCTCTTCCTGCTCAAGCAGACACCATTTTTGCCTTTCCTGGATGGTACTTAATGGTGCAGTCATAATCGCTCAACAACTCCATCCACCTTCTCTGCCTCGTGTTCAACTCCTTCTGATCAGTCAAGTGCTGGAGGCTCTTGTGGCCAGTGAAGATGGTGAACATCTCGCCTTAGAGATAATGTCTCCATAACTTCAAAGCAAAGACCACTGCTGCCAAGTCCAGGTCATGGGTGGGGCAGTTCACCTCATGGGGTCATAGCTGCCTCGAAGCGTAGGCGATCACCTTCTTATCCTGCATCAGTAACAACCCAAGCCTTGGTAGGAAGCATCACTATAGATGGAATACTCCCCACCGCTGGTCGGTAGTGCTAACACCGGTGCAGAGTTCAGCTGTGACAACCCGACTTTTGGGTTCAGGTTCGACCATAATAAATGAATGATTGGATTGACGATTAGGTACAAAGTGTTTCAACCGCAAATCAGAAATATAATAGTAATAATAATAACAATTATTATTATAATAAGAAAAATAATAATAAGTAACGGCCTAGAGGGCTGAGCGGCAGCGGCCCTCAAATTTCCCCTCTACCCATCGCAACTTTCTCCATGTCGTCAAAACCCTTTCCCCCAATTTCTCCTAAGCCTCGGCAAAAGAATTCCCCGCCCCTCTCTTTCTCTCGCTCTCGCTCGACCCGTTTCCCCAGCGAAACAAGCAGCGGAAGAAAGTAGATGCAGCGCTTAATAGCGCTTCAACTTGGGAAGGAGCTGGCGGAGTTGGGCTTGATTTATTCTTGAAAATGGCAGAGAGGAAGATGGTTTCATGGAAAATGTTTGCGGTGGTGGTCTTGAGCATTTATCCACCACTAGTGATGATTGGAAGAAGGCAGCAGTTAAAGGAAAGAATTAAATGGACAAAGTCCATTGTCCTCTAGTGAAAGGGAAAAAGACGGGAAAGGTTTTGGTGGTGGGTTCTAGCGGTGGCAGCGACGGAGACATGATGGACAGGGGATAAGTTCCGGATAATTGAGAGAGAGCCCGAGTTAGTTCGAGTGATGACGCCATCCGACGAGCCATTATAATGGTGTTCCTGAGATAGTTGGGCGAAGGAGGGATTCCTTCGAATAAGTAATCGAGGAGTCGTCTTTTCGAGGTGAGTGTAAAGGGGGTAAATTCTACGCCTTACGTATTCTTTTAAGTATTACGATTTTAAGTATTTTAGCAAAGTGGTTACCGTTGCTTGAGTACGTTTGTGGTTGAGTATATGTGCTTTGTTTGAGCAATGATTTGAAGTGAATGTGTGTTATTTAATTACTTGAAAGCTTTATGTTATGAGTGATTGTTGAAGTTTAAGAAACGAGTTCTTTTTAAGAAGTAACTCACCTTCAAGAAGGTGAAGTCGTTTTAAGTGTTTTTAGTCACTAGCGCCAGTCCGTTGCCATTTGAGATTTTGAGATAGAGCAGCAGTTATGCTCTTGAGACTTTTAAGATGAGCAGCAGTTATGCTCTTGAGAATCATGGTGAAGAGCCACCACGATAAGTTTAAGATGTTAGGGGGATTAATCGTTACGACTTCCCTAACTAAGTTTAAGTTTAAGGAAAGCCTAGATGACTTCTCATACGTATGAGTTGGGCAAACGGACTAGCTAGTGAGGGATCCTCGCGTCAGTCAAGTATTTAAGTCAGGATTTGAGCTTTAAGAGAGGAGAGTAACTTCAACTTCCTCAAAGTTTGAGAGTTAAGATTTTAAAAAGATTGGAAGTACAAACAACTTCCACCAGTTAAAGTTAAGTGTTTAAGTAAAGTACTCAAGTATTAGAAGTATTAAGACGTAAGGGTGTAGACTGACCCCATCTCACTCACCAGTTTGAGGAGCTAGAGGAGCAATTAATGAGCAGCGAGTTCGAGGGCAGCCAGCTAGAGGAGATCAGTATAAGCGTCACTGAGGATGCTTAGTAAAGGTTTTCAGTAGCAACAAATTTAGAGATTATTAGTTATTTACATTTATGATTATGAGTACAGACTGGAGGCATTTTGAGATTTTTAGTATTGAGTTTGCCCACTTGTTAGGTCTTTGCTTTGAACTACAAGTGTGTGTTTTCAGTATTTTATTTATGAAAATTTTTTCCGCTGCAATTTAAGATTTGAGTATTTTATTTTTCAAGGGCATTTTAGTAAAAGTAGTACTCGGACGGGTTAGGGTGTTTCATCAGCTTCTCCTTCAGCAACTCAAACATCGTTTGACACTTCTCGTCCCAAACAAATGCCTTCCCCTTCTGCAACAGCTGTGTCATGGGTCTTGCAATACCAAAAAAGCCTTCAACAGATCTCCGGTAGTAACCAGCTAGACCCACAAAACTTCGCACTTCAGAAACATTCTTTGGTGGAGCCCAGTTTGTTACAGCTTCAATCTTCTTGGGATCCACTTCAACTCCACGTCCAAAAATCATGTGCGCATGAATAAGACCTCCTCCAAACAAAAGTCACACTTCAAGAACTTGCCATATAGTTTTTCCTCCTTCAATTTCTGCAAAACCACCCTAAGGTGCTCTTCGTTCTCTTCCTTACTCCTCGAGTATATGAGTATGTCATCTATGAAGACGATGACAAACTTGTCCAAGTACTCGTGAAGAACCCGGTTCATTAGTGCCATAAAATTTGTCGGTGCATTAGTCAGACTAAATGGCATGACTAGGAACACATAAGGGCCGTACCTGGTGCACAAAGGTTGTCTTAGGTATTGAACCATCTGCCACTCGCAACTGATGATAACCTGACCGCAGATCGATCTTTAAAAACACCCTTGCTCCTTGTAGCTGGTCGAAGAGATCATCTATCCTTGGCAAAGGATATCGGTTCTTGATGGTAGTTGTGTTCAGCTTCTTATAGTCAATGCACTGTCTCATATTGCCATCCTTCACTACAAAAAAGACTGGCAGATGTTACCAGACAATTGGCGTCACAAAAGGCCTTTTCTCGTCACAATAGGGTTATTTTGACGAAATACGGTCGTTGGTGGGTCGTGGGGTAAAGGTCCCTCGCTAATAGTTTAAATTCACTTGCGTCAGAAAATCATACATTTGTGACACTTATTTTTTTGTCATTATGCAAAATATCGTGATCAGAAAAGAAATGTACTTAACGAAATTGTTTGACCAAATACATTTTTAAGGGATAAAATATTTTTTGTGAGGAGTACATTTTGTTAGATAAACTATAATTGAGGAAAATGTGTTTGTTAGTAAATAAAACATTCGTTAATAAAAAAAATGACATTTTTTTCCGAAAATACCCTTTGTACGTTTTGACCACAGTTGTTTGTCGTAAAAGAATATTTTTTGCGAGGGTTAATTATGTTCCTAAATTACCCCTGTGGTATTTATAATGAATATCTTGCGTCACTAAAGGATATTCCTAATAATTGTAAATTTAGTTTCCAACGAGAAAATAAGGTCAGAAGAAAATATCGAATATTTGTGATGCAGAAGTTTCGTAGGAGAAACTAATCAATTTAGACCAAATTTTGTGTTCATGTAACCAGATTGTTGCGTTAAAAATAGG